GTCATTGTTTACCTAACGTCGAAATTCGTCCTCTACACGATGCTGAAAACCGCAAGTCGCTAGCGCTTTTCGTTAAAAAGTTATTCAAAAAGCAACCGAGTGCCAACCATTTTGAAACGGAGAGTAGTTTGCTGTTGCCGTATACTAATCGCATTCGAAAGTCGTGCCCTTTCAATCTCTAGCCACATGTCAGACACGAGGTCAGTCAATTGATACAGTGAAACTCTATAGTATAAACATGAATTCATAGTATCGACTTATCATACCAATAGCACACAAACACACTTTCACGTTTTCCCACTATCACCATATCATAGCATGACTTTCATAGTTTCTTAGTATCACAGTATCATAATACGACTTTCACAGTTTTATAGTATCACAACATCACAGTAATACTGTGAATTTCATAATATTACTATGAGTTTCATAGTTTCACAGTATCATAGTATGGCTTTCATAGTTTCAAAGCATCACAGTAATACTGCGAATTTCACAGTATTACTATGAGTTTCATAGTATCACACTCTCATTGAAATTCATAGTATTACTATGAAATTCATAGCATTACTGTGATACTGTGAAACTATGAAAGTTATACTATGATACCGCGATACTGCGAAAACGTGAAAGTGTGTTTGTGTGATATTGGTATGATAGGTCGATACTATGAATTCATGTTTATACTATAGACCTTCACTGTATCAATTGGCAGCTATGGCGCACTGATGGAATTAAAAAGTTTGCTATATGGAAACCCTTAGGGTTTCGACGACCGAAAGCGTTATTTCTTATTTGAAAAGTACAAGTGTAATGTACCATTCAAAAGAACTCATCAAAACGTGTCATAACTTGTGCGTAAGTCTAACCGTCTTTGTATGCTTTAAGCGATCTCCAAAATCCTCTCTCTAATTTTAAATATTGTTTTTCTGAGCACGATAAAACTTCAAGACAATTCAATTCACAATGAAAACGTTTTTTAGTAGTGTTTTCGAAGGAACAGTGCGAAATCATTAACAGTAATAGATGTTTATTTGTAAGAGCGGTTTTTTTGTTTTCTAATTGTGATTTTATGTGATTTGAGTGTCATAAGCAAATCAAAAAGAATAAACATAAAGAATAAAAAGACTACAGTTCCACATTGTATGCACCTGTACAGTCAAAAGCCGGAAGTTCTGAGTTTTCCAGAATCTTCTAGAGATCTTGGAAGTACTTCCGCCGAATTGTTCATCATTTTTAACCTATTTGAATCGATCAAAATGAAATTTGAGTCGAAAACATGAAGTTAATTAAAAATGACTTCGCCGTTTGTCTGTCCCTTTCGATAAAAGTCGTCTTCTCTGCAAGGAAAGTGACTTTAAAAGAAACAAAGTTATACTTTAATCCTCATCTCAAGGCAATTCTTTTGATGTATGAACCAAGGCTGTATCTCTCAACACAAAAAAACAGATGGGTTTGTAAACAGAGGGTCTCTGTTTTGAGTACCGTACGTTTTAAGTTCTGCCAAAGTTCCGCTTTTGAATTTAGAGACTTCAGAATGAATTTTTCTCTATGAAGAAAGGGATTTCGACGACTGAGAAGATGTTATTCGTGATTAGCTTGAGATGCTGAATCCGAGTATGCATAATAAAGTCAGAAAAAAATTCCACTGCAAGTTTGCATTATGTACATCTTAAGAAGATTATAAGAGGATTCTATTTCAACACTTTTTACTGCTTTTGTGTTGATTTTTATAAGTAAAAAACTGGTAAAAATCCTTTTCTCCATATATAAATAAAGACGCAATAGGACGCGGTTGCAGAAATTATATGAGAGCTGATGTTTTCAGCATACTGACGGACAGTCCAGTCTCACGAGCGATGTTCCAATCGGGATACGTATTCGGATTCGAGATATAAGGCATATTCTGTACGGGATATCGGAGAAAGTTTACATTGTTATCAGGCTATTTTTGCAAACATTTCGGCAAAAATCATTGTCGCAAAAATCGTGACGTTATTGCAGAAACGAATTATGCTTACAGCTTGATGCTTTGTTTAAAGAAGGATTAGAATTTCATTTCATCTCTTCTTTTTTAACCCTGTGCATATATAAATACTAACCCATTTCACATCAACTGTTTTTGAACAGCATCAAGTTTATCTAAAAGTTCGAAATAGATAAACTACATAAATAAAACTGAAATTTAAAATATCTACTCTAACAACTTATTTTTGCAGTTCGGTTCTGTCTGTTATCGGTACAATGCTGATATTTGTGTGTTACACTTGTCTGCATAATCACTCTAGTCCAACAAACGATCTATCAGTAACTGTAAACACCCTTTTTATGCGAAATACGCCTTGAAAACGGTGGATAAGGTGCGGATAAACAGACAGATACAATTGTTTTTCTAGATCTATGTCCTTTCAGTCATGAAGACAAATTTATTTCAGTCAGCCAAAACTGGAAATTACATGGCTAGTATTTAAAGAATTAATGAATATTCCCATATGCCATCAGAACCAGACTTTTATAATGAAGAATCGAAAGTGCTAAAAAAATTAGCCATCCGAAGGAAAGATAGAGTTTAAAAATTATAAACTATGCTATTGTCCGGAACTTGCCTTTCGTACTGAAAAATATTAACTTAGAAACTGATCTACATACCAAAATCGGCATTGTTGAAAGTACAGGTGAGTAAAACAATATCAGTCAGTTTGCAGAGAATCCGCTATATACAGAAAGACTAAAATAACAGATACAAGTTATAAAGAACTAGAATAGAAAGCTGGTGTTGCTTAAGAAGGAGCGTATAGTGATGAAGATGAAGTAATGCTGTTGTAGATTGTGAAGAGTTTAGATTTTGCTAATAATTAGAAGATATTAAAGTAGAAGACGGCAGTGAGACTGAAGCTGTTGTTGTTACTGTAGTCGGCTGGCTTACTTGATCATTATTCACCTTTCTTAATTTTTTCATCGTAATACAGTTTTTGGTAGCTTTGAAATGACGATACACGTTCGACAATACGAATCTTCCGTATGTTTTCGGCAGAATAATTTTTCTCTAGAAGCACAGGTCAACAAGCTTTATCGGCATTTTTACTTGTAAAGTAAAGTGTTTTTTTATCCTATTCGATCACTTTAGTGTATTTTGACTTTTTCTGCGTGAAGAAATGGTTTTTGAAGGTTGGGAAGGTGATATTTGGATGCAGCTTGAAACGACGAATCAGTGGACGCCTGGAAGGTGTATAACTCAGAAAAATATACCAGTGGACCACTGGAGGATGTATAAAATATCTTCATAGATGTGTAAAATATCTTTATAAACAGACTGCTTGTTGGTTATTAACTCAGAAAAATAGTCGTCTATCTACTGATCATATGTCCAGAGTTATACAATCTGGCAGAAAACATTAAACTCTTGTGTTTTTCTGTCTCTAAAATATTTTATTACGATATGAAAGTTTTGGTGCTACTTCTAGCTCTTCGTCATAACTTAATACGACGATCTGAATAGATTTACTGGTGCTCCTGGAAAGATTTGAGGATTCAGAGCAATTTGAAGCGACTTATCTGTTAACGAAAACAGCGATGGTTTCAAATCATCATTAGCTAAATATGCTACAGAAATAAAATATAATATTGACTAGAAAATTTTCGAAATAGTTTGAGGAGATGGAAACTCAGATGGACTTTTAATTGAAGTAAGATGCAGCTAATACAAAATTCAAGTAAAATTAATTTTTCGCTTTATTATACATATTCTGATTCGTCGTTTCAAGCTGCATCCGAATATCACCTTTCCAAACTTCAAAAATCATTTCTTCACGCAGAAAAGTTCCAATGCTTCCATGGAAGCATTTTCACAGTTACTTATGAATGAAACATATCCAAGAAGTATTAATGGTCAACAATTTAATATTGAACAGTCCAAGCGTATACCTCTACAGATGAGTGTTTTAGATATGAGAGTTTCTTGTCAGCTATCAGAAGCCATAGGCGGCGGAGCCACTAGGCTGGGTAAGGCTCAAGCCCTACCCCAATTTGGCTCTCTTAGGCTCAGCCTTACCCCGTTCAAAAGATAAATATCCGTTTTCCACCAAGGATTTTTCATTGATCATACATTTAGTGCGTGACTATACAGCCACGCAATTCTTTTCTTTTTGTCTTTTTCTGTTGCCACATTTACAGTTTAGTTTTGCGGCCGAGTATTTTGTTTGACTCAGTAAATTTTTGAAAAGTGGGTCTTACCCCGTATGAAAACGTTTCGCCGCCTCTGTCAGAAGCAGAAGTAACAGCTGATGTTCAGGAGCAGTATGCCTCTGCGGATGTCGTTCTTTTCGTCTGTCGGCATCTAGTCGAACTCGAAATGTTAAGGTTAACTTCCATGACAATCGTGATTATACAAAATGTCTGAATAATGGGTTTATTTATGTTAAGCATTTGAAGCTAACAGTAAAACGCTATTTGGGTACGCCTAGGATCATGCTGGGCTCAAAATGCCAGGGATACGGGCACTTTCGTGTCGAATGTGCAAGTGCTCATGAATACTGTGCTACCTGTTCTGCAGAAAGATCTCTTGATTCACCACATGTGTGTACCAACGTTACTAAATGCAGGAATTGCTGTGGTGATCACTCTTATACATATTCTCAGTGCCCCGCATTGTTACAGTATAGAAGAGAATTAATTGAACAGCTGCTGGAAAAAGATATGGTTTCTGATCATATACACAGACCTAAAGTATTTAGAAGTCATCTGAACAGAGTTTTTCCTCTTACATCTGCCAAAATCATGTTACATCTCATGTTAAACAACAGGTTAATCGTACAATATCACCAGTGAAGTCCTCATCTGTTAGACAGGCACAGTTACCAACTTACACTAATGTTCTCAATAGTACCGATAGTGGTGAAGATTCACTAATTAGGCGTTGTGATGTAGAAGATCACATGCAACATTATCAGCAACAGTTATCGGAAATTAATAAAGCTCATGTTGATACAATGTTGGGTCTGAGTAATCAAATTAACATGTTAAGTGCAAAAGTCGACTGTGCATCATCAAAGGCAGAACAAATGAACCTTTTAGTTAGCAAAGTTGTAATTCCATGTGTAATTACATTAGCTGATTCGTTAGTTAAATTGGACGAAAAAATATCTTGTACGGAAGGTAAACCAAACAGACACACAGTTTCTCTTTTAAGTATAGAAGCTGAAACTGAAAGTGAGAAGAATGACAAAATGTTTGGAAAAAGCAGTAACTGTGACTGAAACTACCTTTTTTCAAAGTTCAAAGATTTTTTCAAATTTAATGTCAAAATTTCCTTTTTCGTCACGGTCTTCTACGACTATCGTTATTTCGACTTCCGCACCCTTCCCAACATGAATTTTAACCCTTTAGCTCCACCTTTTGCTTTTTTCGATCCTTGTATAGATTTAAATGTTGTGACGTCTAATCTCCAACAGTTATGTGATCTCGGTCGAGAGCTTTTAGAGTTTCACGAGTGAAACTCCCAGCGTGCTATTTCAAGTTTGTCAAATATTTGGAACTCTTTTTCCTGACAGTTTTCTTTACAATAAAACCGTTGTCTTCTCTTTTGTTTAATGTTGAAGGCTTATCGAGTCGATTACCCGAAGTTGAGGAAATTATAAATTTTTAGTACACCAACTGTCTGTGCTTTGACTGAAACCGGCAACGCTATCTCGAACTTAAATCATGCTTGGTTTCCTTCATATAAACGTTTCTTTACACCTGGTACTAACGCGCACGGCGGAATATTACTTCTAATGCATAATTTAGTTCAGACTACGGTTCTTTTTACAGAACCTAATTTGCTCGCAATTTCAGCAAGGGGTGAAAAGCACATTTCGGAATAGGTACAAAATTTCTGGAATGCCATTCAGGAATGGCAGGATGCCGCCTTCGAATGGTGGGCTGACATTCTAGAATAAGGGAAAGTTTTTTGTTTTGTTCTAAATACGAGCAAAAATTCTGAGTCTGTAACGAAATAAAGGTATCAGACGGACCGGAATTTATTTTATTTATTTATTACTATCCCGTATACCAAAGAAAAAAGATGTGATTTGTCGTCAAGGTATGATCTCGATCAAATTAAGGCGTCGCGCTTTTTTTGCTTTTGTCTATCCATATTTCAACTGGTTAGCGCCTTTGTTTTTCTATTGTGCCGATGTTCAACGGAGACGATTAGTCGACTTATAATCGTATTATTTATGACGTGCCGATGGTATTAATTATTTAGATTATCATATGTTTTTTTCGCTCACTAGTGAGCGTACTTTGATGGAGCGTTTTTCGAGTTATTGGATTAGATATATGTCCAGAGTTTTTTCTTTTTCGGACACTGTCGAATTGTTGGATTTATGGAATCTGTATTTTAATTTTGCATACTGGCGTTCGACGTGTTTAAGCGTTTTCGGTTTACGCAAGAATTGCAGGCATGCACTTTTAGCCGAGAGGTATCCTCATGTATTTTCTTATGTTTACGATCATCGTACGACCATCGATCACCTCGAATAAGTTTTTGGAGTTGGTATCGAAATTCGTTTAACTTTTATGTCAATCACTTTCACGATGTCCTACCTGAAATTCGTCTTTTTTTACGATTCCCTCATGCATTTGTTTTTTAACGTGACACTTTGATTTTCGTGAAACGTATAGTTTTTCGTCATGTAGTGTCATCACTTGTATTTTTCACTGGTTAACGCTAGAAACCAGTTTTTAAATGTGCAAATAAACAACAACAATAACTTCAAAAAGTCAATTTCATCATAGAGGTCGATTTTTGAGATTCTCTCAGGTTTTGACTTTTTCTCCGTGAAGAAAATGGTTTTTGAAGGTTGGGAAGATGATATTCGGATGCGACTTGAACGATGAATCAAGATATGTATAATGTAGTAATAAAATCATGAGTCTATTCTTAACCATACAGTACATTCTGTCCCGATGATTATATATCCACTAGGATTACCAAAACATCTCATCCCTGATCCTGGTCAATCATGAATTCGTTAATAATTTCATCCATCGCTCACTTTACGTAATGCTTAGTCAACATATACAATAAGAACTATTATTTATTTTATCCTCTATTTTCTTCTCTGTCCTCTAATAACGATAAACAAACACAGAAGTCAGGGACTCATAAATAAAATTTTGCATACAAAATGATCTTTGTAGTCTAAGTATTATTCGTCATTTTTAGTTCATAAATTTAATTTGACCAAGTTAGAACACAGAAATATTAACACGGAAGGATAAGTAAGTTTTGATGCTCTGTCCTTTACTTTTACAGTGACAAAAAAAATTACTAAAAATGGCTTGATAATTCCTGATATTGTCTTATGTTTTCTAGAATAGAACTCTGAGCGTCTATTGCTGTTGTTTTATGTACAAATTAACAACTTTTTATTACTGAATTAATTATATTTGATCACTCTACATATGAAAATTTAGCATGTAACATTGACAGAGTTTTATCTAAAGCTTTAGATGCGACCAAATATCTATTTCATTATTTGCATTGAATTTTGAGGATTTTTCCATGATAATTTGTCACCATTGATAAATAAATTAATATTTTGTCGTTTTCGGATTCCACAGGCAAGAATTAAGATGAACATTGAAATAAGACCAATTCCAGTGATTAACATTAACTTTTGTTTATAATTAAATGATAATTCATCATTTTTTTGGTGATGTTTATGATGTCTGGTTCGTGAATGAACCGTTGAAGAAATTGTGTTCGGTTTTTGACGAGTTGATGATATTTTTCCGGAAACGAATGGGACCGCTGATTCCTTAACGGGGAAATTTGTTGTCTTTTTCCATTTGCTTACACCTACACTATTTTTCGATGTGAAAAAATAAGGGTGTTCTTCTGTTGGACATTCTAATGCTTCACCTTTATGCCAAAATGTTTGCTTTTGTTCAACTGGCTCTAACATGTTGTTCCATAGAGACAATGCTGTTATAGAATGACCTTTTCCTAAAATATGACACAATGTTAATCAGTTAAAATAGTCTCTAACATCATGATCGATGTTACATACCGCTGAAATGGAAGCAGTCGGGTGCAAAGTAGCTGAAATCAATTGGATTACCGGGTTTATCTGTACGCGGTATTTTTGTTTCTGTGAGAAATGGTTGTATAACAACAGTGAAATCATCACTTGTATCATAACGTCCAGTTGCGACTAAATCCTTTAACATATTCTGATATTGGTGTACGTAGACATCTAGAATTTTTGCATTTTCAGGCGTTGGATTAACAGCACATGAACAAGTTAGTTTATACAATACTTGACAAACGAAACCACCAGTATTTAATTCTTGGACTCCGCTGAAATCAAACTCATGGTCAATTATTTGTGGCAGAATATTTGATACATTTTTTATACATAAAACTTACCGAATATCTAATACCAAAACTAAATTGACAAACGTTCGTGGCAATGATGCATGTAAAAGATCGAGTGCATCTCGAACATAGCCCGTAAATTCTTCTGGCGTATGCATATTCGTATCAACACAAAAATCACACAAATCGTTACCACCAACAAAAAACGTGACCACTTTCCAATCATTGTTAAAATCATAGGTTTTATCTGCTTTTATACGATCAATGAGCATTTGTGCCTGATTCAACATGTGATAGGAACGACCACCCGATTTAGCTACGTTCAATCCATTATTCGAACTATTTTGTCCATTTAGAAATGAGATGGAAAATTTGGTTGAATAACCTTTTAAATTTGGAGTATATTGTTTTACTATATTGGGTAATGACATAACTTTATTAAAATTATGATCACCACCGATAGACCATGATAAACCACGATTTTCTACTAACAGTCCTGCGATAGTTATTGCATGGGCACCTAAAGCAGCAGTCAGCGAATCGCCCAGTGCACCAATCACTTTCACATCCGATGGACGAAGTTGATGAACACTTGTTGCTGTTGTTTTATTATCTCCAAGTGATGGATTACAGGGAAAATTCATTTTTTCCCCATAAAGATAGTCTGGTTGTGAAAACAAATCAAACGACCACTTGTAATATTCCTCAACAAATGTCTCATTCAAACTCAATTTATCAATTTCCTTTACGTACTCATCAATATTCAAACCAACATTAATAGAGAATAATATTGAAAAAACACTTATTGCAATGGTGAACTGCATGCTACTTTTGTACAAAGTTTGAAAGGTAAGAAAAAAACAAAAAGTTATGTCAAATGATAATAGTTTTTATTTAGTATTCGATGGATAAATAGAGAACAAAGGTAGGTCATTCTATGAAAACAGTAGAAGTGCGTGATTAAAGAGCGTTAACTTGCAAAAAAGTTACCTAACAAAATAACAAATTTTTTTTTAAAGATAACCTGAGAGAATGTTGGATAAAATTTTTCGATTGTCCCCTAGTGTATTCTTTTTCTTCATGAGCATGGTATGCGTATGAAGAATGTTATACAAAACAACCGATAAGAGGCTAAGATACTCTAGCAGGTTATAGAAGTATAGTTGAAATATTTCGATGAGTAATATTCCGCTTTCCAATGTGCAAAAGATCATTAAAAATACTCTGCAAGTTTGTGTGCATCAACAGTTATCCATATTTTGTATTAAATACTTGTAATACGAATTAAGAAAAATATACCTCTTCCATGACTTCAATCAGTCACCACCACAAAGAAAACAAATGACTTAGGTGGAAAGCATAATCAATTTAATCATAGATATATATCTTTTTATTCACAGATAAAAGTCTGAAAATAATTACGAATATAATTATCGACTAAGGCAATAGTTTAAAGGACAATTTATTTTGTAATATTAATGTGCTAATCTTAATAGTTCAATCATAATTTGTAATTCAGTGTAAATAATTGTGACTACAAACTCGTTGACATTATTGTTTTTCTAATCGACTGATAAATAATTTACCTCTCAAAGACGTAGTCAAAGACGATTTCTTACTTGTTAGCGAACTGTAATGAAAACAATAATATATGAATTTTTTAATAACTCATTTTGTTGAAATCAAATATTGCACAAATTAATCATACAACTCTTAATTGAGAAAAATTAATGAGGAATAAACTAAGAATAAAATACAAATTAAGTGAACTACTAAAAATAAGAAAATTATTAAGGCTTGATATGAAAATGACATATACATCATTGTTATATAAGGAATCAAATCGGCCTCAAAGACCTTTAGGATGATTTCGATTTTTCATCGATCACGCTTTTAACTTTATCGTATTTTCTAAATAATATGGCATTTTCATTTTCCTTCATTTTTCTACAATCTAGTACCAGAATGGACATTTAAGCTCTACATCTGGTAAAATACCCGAGGACACATGTGCAAGACAAAAATTAGATGTTAAAGATACTATTTTGGCTATATCTCTGAAATCCCAAAACATACCACTCTAATTGTTTTATATATTTTCCTCTTGGAATTTGCCTACAAAACATGACATTCACATTTTTTATCATTGAGCTCATTATCTAATTTAGCAAAAAAACTAATAGAGTAAAGTAGCCATGTATTTTGAAAGTGGGTTTTTTCGATTATGACGGGGTATGGTGCTGCCAGTTTAGCAGTTCTAATACAGATCTCTTGAAATGCTGCACAGAGGTCACTTACGCAATGGAAGACGACTTGAAGCCAAGATATCAACTGATTTTAAAATATACCTTGTCTTCGGCCTGTAAAACTGTACAGATCAGTAGATTTCATTATGCAGGGAAAAGCGCATTCTAAGGAGTGTTTCGAAGTATGCTGAGTACATTGAAGTGTCAGAATGAGGGCATTAAATAACTTATTGAAACGTCAGAAATAACTGAATATAAGAGATCGTTCGTTTTGATTCTCGGACGTAGAATGCATCAATATGCTACAGTTACAATAGTGCGAAGGAAAAATATGCCACACATTCCATTTATATTTTCGTGAATAAAATCCGAAAAAGACAGTTGTTCTCGTAACTGTAATTAGCTGATGGACTCTACACGCTACAAAGATGCATAAAATCATATATTTTAGACCGAATTCTTCTTTTTGATACTAGAAATGAGACAATACTGTGACAACTAGTATCTGTTCAGTTTTATTTGTTTCTAACAACTATAAAGGAGATACCAATTCAGAAAACTACTGAAGCGTTCCTACAATAAAGGTTCCAATGCATCGTTTATACACAGTTTTCATACTCTTTCTAGTCGGAAATCAACAATAATTTAAAAATCACTCCCGAAAAAAAGACTGGGGACTCTGTAAGCTTACAGATAACGAAACCGTGATTTTTCGTAAAGATTCTTTTGTACAAAAATGTTAGATAACAGAAACCTAATACATATTGTGATGAAGAAGAATCACCTCTACAAAGCCCAGATATCAGTCTCTTGGAAAATGTGAGTTTAGCCGAGCACAGAGTCAAACAATTTATACATATAGATTATTCTATCATGTTTGACAGTATTGTATACCTTTCTGTATTTTAGATGGAATCTGAAGTTACCAGAACTGTAAAAATCGGGCAGTATGCGTTTTAAGTGTTAACAATTTATTTCATATTATAGAAGACGGTAAGGTTTCTTCGACATTCATACTATCTATGATACTAAAAATCGTAAAAGGCCTTATCTGATATGAAGATGGCTCCGCCGCTGATGGTCACTTCTCATTTTGTTTAATTATCAATCATGCCATCTACCTTCAGGAGCTGTCGAGAATCATCTGATAAATTTTCTTAGACCAGTAACTCTTTCACGCTTTGAAATTTGTAAAATACAGTGATTAATTAGCTTTTCAAACTGACTAAATTACACGAAGGTACAGCTAGCGATAACTCGTTGGTTTCCCGTCCATCATGAACATGAGAAGAGGAAGAAGAAAAGACTCAGTGAGTAGAGAAATCAACAACAGCTGAATAAGTGCAATATTGAACGAATCAGTTGTAAAGCGTATGATTGCGCGAAGAATGTCGTTGACGAATTTGGCATGTCAACTATTTTGAAACAAAATAAATCGTATTATTTAGATGAATTGAGTTCAGAATGTTCGAAGCGAATCGATCAATAGAGATGGACATCCTGTCAGTGAATAAAATCAATGAAATGGATGAAGACGAGATTAAATACGATGAAGAGAGCACAGAGTTAAGAAATTCAAAGCTAGACTCGGAGCAAAAGAGAGATGAGAACACCAATGACAATCAAAGAAATAGTGTTATGACAACAACTAGAAAACAATTCAATGAGACGAGAATTTCTTACGAGATCAAAGCACAATAAAAAATCGTACTTTTCAAATTAAAACTATTATTTCTTTGAAAAATATTCATAAACAAACTACTTCGTCATATCTGTCAACTGATAAACACTAGTTTCATCCTGCAAACTTACAAGATTGTAGCAAAAACGAAATTGATCTTATATGTTAGTTAGTAAAAGTGTAATTAATAAAACTTTTAGCTAAATTAGAAAATGTCCGTTAATAGAAGCTTGTCAGGGAAAAATATGCTTCGATTGGGGCTCGATATGCGTGACCAGTTGCTCTAGCCCACTGAGTTAGCAGGCTCTGAGGTAGTCAACTTAATTGACTAACAATGGAAGGTCGTGTATTGTAAGTGAAATTGATCGATCATATTCGGGTCAAATGAACACTCTCTCTAAGAAACTTAAAATATGAGCTGCCCTTGGCTTGCCTGGACAGAGATATTCAGTTTTTAAGTTATGCATTATTAGGCTATAGAAACATGATAATATATGAATTAATCACATGGAATTTTTAGTGTAACCATCAGATTTTTCAGACAGTGAGCTTCCGAAATTTTGATGAATTTATTAACAATGTTCAGACTTCTTCTGAAGTTTAATAGCACAGAATTAACAAAGATTGAGCATTACGTTCATATCAATCGGACAGAAATGAACTTGAACGATCGTCAATGTTTTATAAACATGCATTCTATTATTCACAACCAACTATCTGCTCCACAATTCAAAAATCTTATTAAGTCTGAATTCACACAAGCCAGGATACTGAATGAAACAGTTGGTGAAATCAAGAAACCAGCAGATGTTTGCTTTAAATTCTATGATCTTTATTGCTCCGTTATTCGTTGTGAAGAGCGAACTCTTCTAACTTGCGCTTGGTGCAAAAGACACCTTTGTTATTATCATTCGATCGAAGATCTTCATCTACATCTATAGTACATCTCTTGAAATATTGTTTTCTACA